TTTAGAATTATAAAAGGAAATAGCATTGTAACATTGCATATATCACTCTTAAAATATATTATTCGTCGTTTGATAATGAAATGTTTCCTGCTATTAAATTAATCAAATTTGATAATGTTATTTGTTTTCTTTTTAGATATGGCGGATACAACATCATTCTACGATATTGGCGGGTATCGTGAAAATATTCGACGTTATAAGGATGGTATTGAACAACTTACTGATGTCCAAACAATGATTAAGGTTCCTTTTCTTTTCTTCTCTCTCTCTCTCTCTTTCCCTCTTGTACATATGTGTCATCAAATTTATTCTTTTAAAATTTCCATTAGTATCCATTTAACATAGTTTCATTTTTCTTTTGTTTTCTTTTCTTTTTTTTGTTTTTTTGTTTTCTATCGATTCTATTATGTTATCGAATTTTTAACTCTGAAATTTTCATTAACATATAATTTTACATACTCCTTCATGTTCTCTTATAATGTTCATAGTTAATGCAATGTTCAAATTTACAACAAACAAACATAACTTTTTTGTACAATTATCCTACTTTTGTCTTTTCTCTCATCCATTCTTTTTTCCTCTTCCTATACTTCTTTATATTATCTCTTATTGTAATTTTCAACATATAAGCGATAATATCATCTCGTTGCATTCTTACTTCTATTAAAGTTTATATGTAACTTTTTAAAGTTTTAAACGCATTTTCTGAGGTGAAATATTACGATGCAGTACGATATTTTTAATTGTTTTTATTCAAAAATGAAATTTAGATCTCGTTAGAAGGAATGGTATAATTATAGTTCGTGACGAAGAAATACTCGTTTTTGTATTTTATTATTGTAATTTCTCTTGTTTAATAGATTTTTAATTGGTTTCATTTATTTTCAGATATACGAATAGATGTTTTTTTTTTGTTCCTTTTTTTTCAGGAAAGGATGGATATTGAAACAAATTACAACAAATCCTTGCAAATTTATTACGATAAATGGTCCGATCATGTTGATGGTTTAGCAAAATCAGCGATACAGGCGGTTTGGAAAGATGTCCTGGAGGAAAGCATAGAATTACAACGTCTACATGCAAATGTTCGAGATCGCATATGTGATGAGGTTAGTTGTTGTTAAACTTAGTAGAAAAATGCAATGAATGATATTTTTATGAAGTAGTATAACGGTATAGTTGTTATTACCTGTAAACACGACAATTTACTCAGGTTATATGAAGTTCCTCAGATTAAAATCAGGTGCATATTCTTTTCAAGCGTTAACGAAGACTTTTATAATTTTATGAGCTTGTTTGCTTGTTACTAGGTATAAAATTTTGCTGCATTCAATTTGAGCATTATTTTGCTGTTGCTTTTCTTTTTTTTGAAGCTTATTATACAAGAAGTATCAGGTGACAGGTGACAGGTGATTATTATACAAGAAGCCAGCAGGTGATTAAACTTTGTCGTTTGACGGACACCACCATTATGATCTTCTGGTAGTAGACGGGTGCGAGGTTATGTTCGGCATGAAATTGTACATATCAAGTGATATACTTAGACATTAGACAATTTAGGCAAACCAGAATATCACCGTGAGTATCTCTTCATTTCAGATTCTGAAGACAATTGCGCTTTATTTAAAAGAAAATCATCATCCATCAGCATTTCGGGCTTCGAAAGAAACGCGTGAAGTTGAAGACGATTTTGAGAGAGCACAGCGATCTTGGCGACGACAATTCGAAAAAGTTGAAAAAGCCAAGAAAGCATATCATGCAGCAGCAAGATCAGAACGATCCGCCCAAATACAGGTGAAAATTGAATTCGTCTGTTCATTGTAAACCCTGTAAGAAGGTCAAAGCATGACTCTGGTGGAAGGCGCTCATATTTACGCTTTTTTTTAATACGAATATTATAATTCCAATTCCAGATATTTTTATGATTTCATTTTTCAAACAATTCATGTAAATAAATTCAGATGAAGAATGCATGTGGCGATGCAGCACTCTCACCGGATATGCAGTCAAGATATCATGATCGCTATCAAAAATGTCAAGATGAGCTAGCAAAATCCGAAAAAGTTTATCGTATTGCACTGGAGGATTTGTACCTCATGAAGAAGAACTACGTGTCACATATGAATGATGTAAGTTATACACATAAATGCACTATGCAAGTACTCATTATTGTTTTAGTTTTTCCTTTCATATTTCATTTCCATGTATATTTTTCTTCTATTCACAAGTGTTAACTATGATTGTTTCTTTTTTTTTCAGATTAACTTACAATTTTTTACAAAATTTTCTCAAAATAAAAAATGAAGCCGTTTTGCTATCAAACAATCAATTTTTTTTCAGGTTTTCGAAGCATGTCAAATGAAAGAATTGAAACGTTTGAAATTTTCTTTCGAGATGCTTTCCAATCTCCAAAAAGTTTGCTCCGATTTAGCATCTGCTACAAAGTAATAACAATATTTACTAGATGTGATTATTCGCGAAGTTGAAGTACTAAATAATTAGTTGAGTAGCAGTTCGTAATTGTTATAACATCACTATGTTATAACAATATTGGTTGCGATTTCGTGGACTAATTGCGAATTGAATTAGTTTCATCATCATTTATTTTAAGCTAATAACTAATTATCATGCTGATGATATTATGTAAGTATAAGATTCTGCAGCATTACTATGAGATGCGATAAATAGGGAGATATTATCATACTTACAGGTTGAATCATTTGCATTGTAATTTGGAAAAGAAGCTTGGCACCGATAATACTCGTTTCAATAACGATTTGGAAAATTGGTCCAAAAAGTATGGCCCTGAATGTGAAACCAAATGGCCAGTTTTTGAGGTCAGTTTACAGCAGAAGGGATAACTGTACTCAAAATATATTTATTTCTTATTAAATGACACAGATTTTCTTTTTTCCATTAGCTTCTATCCATATCCTGAATATCCTATAATTAATAATTCTAGCCATTCATACCATCGTTGGGTTCCATTACATCCCGTAAAAAGAAGAAGGATGGCGAAGTTGTTCTCATGAAGCAAACATTCAAAGATGTCGATGGTCATAGCAATTCAGTCTATTCGATCCCAAGTTCAGTTTCGCAAAATGCTCAATTAGCAACACCAAGTTCCATATCTACGAAAACGTCCGTAAGTGTTATTACGACAATTGATACATGTTGTTTTACATTTATCATTGAAACCCGGAAACTAATGATTATTACAATATTAAGTAGAGCTATTGTTTGCAATAAGGAATAGAAGCAGAAAATAAGATATGACATTCTTCAGTCCTTTGTTAAGGCTTCAGCAAACCTTTTTTCAAGTTTATTTTCGAGAATTCGAGTCTCTGAAAATTTAAGATTGTTGGAGAAGCCGTGGATCGTACTAATGGAATATTATCGAAAAATAAAACGGAATCAAGTATTAAACCAAATTGCAAAGAACCGACTTCGTCAATCTCGGCAAATCCACACACTGAACAGTCTTCATTGGTTGTTATTGATGTGGATAATGCGGGCAGTAATCCTAGTGAATCCTCTCCTACCGGAGATGTTAAGCCATATACAGCGAAAGTACTTCATGATTATGATGCTCAAGACGATGATGAATTGTCTCTCAAGAAAGGTATTTCAAAACTTACATAAATTAACAGTTTGTTAATAAGGGTAAAATGATTTCTTCGTTATATTTTCCGATTTTCATTTCTCTGAATCATTTTTCAAAATAAATTCTTTTTCCTTTCTCTTTTTTTTCACTCTTTTCGATATGCTTTGAAAAAGGAGTTCTGTCGGCCATTCGAGCATAAGTGTAAATAACTTATCATGTCTAATTATCTTGTTTTCATCCATTTATCTCTCTTTTCCACTCTTCTTCCTCCTTTTCCTCGTTGCTTTTTTTAGCAAGCAGCAAAATATTTTTAATATCGTTTACCTAAATAATTCATTCATCATTATATTACAATTTTCCAAACAATTAATATTTTTCTTTTTAATATTTACTATTATTTATTTATTGTAAAAATAATTTACTCGACATTTAATCTTTCACCGTTATTTTTAGGTGAGAAAATTACTGTACTTAGTGGTCCGGATCATTTAAACTGGAGTCTGGGAATGAAAGATGAGCGAACCGGTTTCTTTCCAGCTTCATTCGTGCAAAAGCTATAGTAATGTACAGGGGAAAGTATTTTATATATTTCATTGCGATTTTAGGTAATTAATGATAACAGTAATTGTGATTTTTGGACTTTATCATAATTTTAAATTCGAATTTCTTTTTTTTTAATAACCTGTTGCATACTGACACTAAGTGTAAGAATGGAAGAATTGATAGCGTTGATTTTTTTTTTTCGATAATCTGTTTGAGAATGGATACATATTTGTTTCCATATCTATATTAAGTTATGTGATTGTATTATAACTTATCCTGTTCTAGTTATTCGCTCTATTTTTTCTTTTTTAAATCTGAAAATATTTCGGCATTTCCATCAACATCCAGTGTATGTTTCGTTATTGTTAAGTTCCAGTTTATTCTTTTCCAGTTTATTAAGTATTAATTTATAAGAAAAAAAATTTCAAAATTCACTTCCAGGATACATCACCATTGGGGCCTAAAAACTGTTTATGGAATGGCACATCTAGCGCGATTCATGTGATAATCAGATATCATGTTTACAATCACTTTAATTGCTGAATAAAATTCAAGCCTGAAATTTTGTTTGCGTAATCCATTACAATAAATTTTTACATGCTACCTATTCTTCAACACCACCCTAAATTTCAATTTTTCCTGAAATAGGATTCTCAATCTAAGCTGCTAATTCACTTTTTATTCACGGAATGACATCACCAAGTGTGATGATAACTTGTATGAAGTTAAATTCTAAATTATGCCTAATTAGATCAAAATAATATCGAACTTTTACTGCTACATTATTTTTGATCTATTGTAAATTAGGTGGTAATTTATTAGCAGTCTAGCAAAAAATCGTGATTATATCCAGCATGAATGATAATGATGATGATGATTATGATGATAATGGTTATTATAAGTGAAAAATCATGATTCGTGCTATTGTATCTTTCTCTAGTCACCATCGTGGTTATTTCTGTTCACAATTAAGTTATTTTATATGAAGTTAGCCACATTAACAATTTAATGTTAGTTTTCTTAATGTTATTGTTATACGTAATTCACCTTGTTTCTTGAAATTCTAGTGCTTCACTTGGTTGCCTTTTTTTTTCTTTTTTCTTCCTTTCAACAATTATTCATCTTTTTTATTTTTAAAAAAGAAATAATTTCGTTTCTTGTAAAATTGAATAATTTCATTTGATTGTTACATTCGAATTTTACTTATATTTTAACTTTTACTTACTTAATGGAATACTATCTAGCAAAACTCCCTAATTATTAAATCAATTTTTCATGAAATATACAAAATTGTTAAATAATTGAAAGTAATGATGCATGCTTGATTCATCAATAATACTGCTCATCATATCTACAATAAATCTTATTTTTGTTGATACATGAAGAAGTGGAAAAAGGACAGACAAACTAATTATTACCAACCAATCTATTAATAAATTATCAATGCATTTTTCTTTTTTTCCGCTACCACTTTCTTTAAACAAAACTTTTAGTAATTATTTTCAAATAAGAAGCCTAATTTGTTGTCCCATACTGGTGACATTGTCCAATATTTCATTAATTTGGATAACAGATGATTGTCACTTGAAGAATTCTTAAGGTCATCTTTTATTAATATCTTTCAGCTAGAAAAAAAAAAAAATCTGAACATTTTACTACGTTTCTTTTCATTATTTTCTTCCGTAATTAATTAATAATCTTAACGATAACTTGGTCCTTACCACGATACTATCAGTAAAGCGCGTTAGATTTTAACAATTTCCTGCTGTCATCAAAATTACATTAATTAATTAATGCTATGATTTGTTGAATTAAATCAAATAAAATTAATGCAATTTCTTAAATACCCAATTGGTGTGATAGAATAAATAAAAAATAATACGAATAAATAATAAATAATAAATAAGAAATAGAAAAATTGTAACGAAATCATCAGTTATTATTCATTATTGATTAATTATATGAATGATATGTTGAGTATTGTGTAAAATAATAAGAATAATAATAACAATTTCTCATTATAAAATAAATCACATCTAAGCGCTTTTCTGTTATTTTCATTTTTTCCTTTTAATTACATATCAAGCTGTTAATTATAACTCTTTGCATCCATTATAAATTATAACTTCCTTTCCATCTTCATGATTCATACCATTTCCCTCATCATTATTTGATTAAAAAAAAAAAAAAAAAAAAA